AGTGGTGCTAATGTTCAGTGGGAGACTGTTTGGTCTCCTGCTGGGCCTCTTTGGTAACATGACTGGCAGGAGAGTAATGGGATGTCACACTCAGAGTGCATATTATATCTATCTATCTATCTATATATATATATATATACATAGATGTATATTTAAATATATATATATACACCTTTAAAGTTAGGGCATCACGTACTGACTCGTGAAGGGAGGGAGTTTTGTAAAAAGGTGTTCTCCCCCTGAGAAGTTGAAAAGGCCGACCTGCTCTCTCTGTAGCGCCCTCAGTGACATGATATTTCTTTTAGCCGAGCAACCATTTGAAGGTGATATTGAGGCATGACTTTGCACTTGGCAAAGCTGACAAGTTCAGCATTAAGTCCCCTCTGAAATATTTATCCATGACAGGAGAAATTTGTAGTTCCTTCCCTATCCTTCCCTTCCACTCCGAGGTAATATCCGGAAAGAAAAACACCCCCAAAAAGACAAAACACTGGCCACTCATCACTATTCGCAATCCAAGACAAGTTGCTTTTAACACAATTAGTTTTTCCCGCGTTAATATTTGTCACGTGGCTTCAGATGTCGCCGTTCTCGTGCTTAACGCTGCACCCCATCCTTCCCTTTAGCGGCTCAGCGTCGACATTATGATGAGTTAGGCAGAGCAAAAGAAGAACAATTATCATTTTCTCTCAGATTACATTCAGCAGATGTCAAGGCCCACATGTGGAGGCGGCTAATTGCTGTCTCCAAATCAACTGTGGCATAATACTACAAGCATATGCAAGCGTGTGTGTGTGTCTGTGTGGGGAAAGCGAAGGTGCTGAGGGGTGTGTTAGCTTGAGAAAGTGTGTGTTCTTGTCTGTGTTGCTCCATTAGCTCTGTGTGTGTGTGCGTGTGTGTGTGTAAAAAAGAAGAAAAAAAACCAAGTTAATGTGTATATCATGTCAGCGTACTAATGATCAAACTGGCTCACCCGCCATCAGCCATTCACACCCACATGAGCTGAAAGGATCACACGGCATAAAGACACGAAGCTGCATGGCAACACAGACTACCCACTCTCATGCTTCACAGAAGGCAATCATGGTCATACAGCATGGCATCCATATTCTCGGCATATTCACAAATGCAAACACACGGGCACCGCCCCCACGCGCCGAGAGTGTGCTCCCGTGCGCTCCCGTGCGCTCCCATGTTACCTAAGAATAATAAAGATTGAGGGATGGAAAGCAACCCTCCGTTCCAGCTCCCAGTTCTCCCTCATCTCTGTCTGTGTCGCCTCGAGTGGGATTGCATTTATGGGGCGGAGCAGGCAGATGAGCTCCCTGGGGTGAGAACGGAAAGGGGTGGAGGGTGCATGGCTGTCATACGGAGCTCCAGTGTGGGATGGCTTAGCGAGACGCATGCCACTGATCAGATTGGTGGATGGGTGTGGAGGATGGGTGGAGGGAAAAGAAAGAAAAAAAAAAAGGAGTAAGTGTGCATGGCTGAGGGAGCTCTGGGGAGGAAGGGTGAGCGGCGATGCCACATCCCATTAACAGAGTCTTTTCATCTAACGTGCACAAGGCAAACGCACATTACACACATGCAAACGTGCAAATCTTACATGCACCTTGAAGAAGCTTGAGCATGCACGCGTGCGCACGTGCACGAGCGCAGGCACGCATCGCCAAAGATCCCCAGTCTCCCCCCCCAGGCGGACAGTAGCATGATGCCGTGACTGTCGCTCTGAAGTGCTCCCTTCTTCCCTCATTCTGCCTCTCCCGTTTCCTTTTCATCCGTCTTTCCCACTCTTCTTTGGTGCCCCAGTTCACTCCAGTGCACACGCTCCTTCTCTCGTTCCACACTAACCCACCCCCACCTTTCTCTGCTCCCCCATTTCCCTTTTTTTTGCAACCCTCACCCCAGTGATAATGCTAGCCTACTTTTTAAAAGAGTCTGTTGCATTTCAAAACAACAAAAAACTGTTAACTGAATTGCAATAAGAGAGGGTTGAATACACAGAAATACATTTTCACAGGCACACCCACACGCTAATAATGCCTACTGTCTAAATTAATATATATATAAATATACAATGTAAAAAAATATTATTTATTTTTCCTCCTTTCCACCACAGTAATGGAGATGGGGCTTTGATGGAGGCGGTCAGTCAGTCACACGGCAGATAAACAGCACCTCATTAGGTACATCGAGGGGAATCTCCCAGGCTGGCCCAGACATCATTGTCTGCTAGCATGCTAACAGAGCCCTGGGCAACGCTTCCAACATCTAAACAAAACTGATAGGAGTGGAAAGTAATGATCACATGTTATCCACTAGAAAGGACATGAATAATCACATACAATGGTTTTGGGGGGTGGATGATGCGTTCCCCTGTGCTCTTCCCTATATGATGCATCAGTGGACAAGCTATGCATGCGTCCAGCAGACATTCAAGAAATAACAGCGATGTCAAACTGCCTGGGGCTTGTTTTTTGTTCTGTGGAAGCATGCATAGATGCGCACTGCTATCCATTCATGAGATCATGGGCTATCCATTACTGGATGTTACAGGACTGTATACCAGGAAGCCTCCCAGCCTACAGTCTGTACAGTATGAAGGGCTTGGAAGCCAAGGCTGTGCACTGCAGTGTTTTTTTTTTCCTGCTTTGAGCTTTAGGCAGTCAATTTTCTTTCCATCACCCTCTTGCACACGTTCAGCCATTCTTGCACTCGCTGTATTTATCTCCCACTCTTCCCCCTCCCCTCCCACCCTATATTAGGCCATCTTCCTTCCCCCTGGCTCCGATGTTAATGCACTTCCAATCAGGCTGTCCATTAAGTGGACGTGCGCTACACGTTCATCAGGCCGTCCAAAGTCCTGCATGCAAATGAGCTCAAATTGCATCGCACTGCAAACTCCTTGAAATCTCCTTAGAGGGGGTGTTATAGCATGCATCTGTGAGAAATGCAGGAAAAAGTGGCAGCCTGGCTATCCATTTTATGCAGATGAAAACCGCCGAGACAAGCAGCACAAAGGATTAACCCAACGAGGATGTCTCCACGATGCAGCGATTTAATGGCGAGACACTCGCACGTGAAGCTCGCTAATATAAATTCTATCTGTGGCATGCAAGCCCGGGTGTTCGAGTAACTGTCAGCCAAACCTTTTGTCATGCAAAGTTAAACTTTTCACTCGGAAATCAGGGAAAACTTTTGGAACTGCTAAAAGTGAGACACACAACAGTTAGATCTTTTTCGCTTTCTTTCCCTCTCCTCCCTTTTGACTGCTAGGTATTTCACATCACTCCAGACTGTTCTTTATAGAAAGAGTTTGCTGTTGTATCCAGTGGGACTCGTTCATTCTCACCTCAACTCTTTGCCATTTCTAACTTTCTGAAACGACGATGTTTTCGAACGAGGAAGAACAGGGAGGGGATAGAAGAGGACATTGTTGATGTGCAGGTCTGAGAGCTTTAAATAGAAAATGCAGGTTCGAGGTAGAGAAGTAGCAAATAGACGACGAGGTTTCGGAATCATGGAGTCGCGGTTTTAATATTCAGGAGGCACGGGGGCTGGCGTTAAATGCACAGAGCATGGGGGGAGTGTCAGCGAGGCCTGCCACGTGCCAACTCTTAAGTGGCTGTGGCACTCAAAGATAATGAAGAACGATGATGAGGGCATGCCAAGGGCCCACATGCACTTCAAAAAAAAAAATCACCCAGAAGACACCTATCAAGCCAAGCACACAGCCACTCATAAAGGTTTGCCAACGGTGCTGATTGCATGTCATGGTGTCAAACCCGAGGCTCAAATTTCACCTGTCAATTTGGATTGCAGTTCGCTTTTTTCTCTGTCCTCCCACGAACACTTACACGTCCACGACACTGGGACGCACGAGCTTTTGTGCGTTTCACACCACATTACGCAATAAGAGGCGGGTAAGTAAATAAATCAGAAAAGTAAAAATAATGGGAGATAAGACAGCTTCCTACATTCCTCAATCATGACCTCAACACACACTTGTCATCTTTATTGTTCATTACCGAGGCGTGCGCCGTGATATGCTAACTAATCCCATTAAAGCAATCCACGTGAAAACGACTCACGGCCCGCACCGCCTCCGCCGTTAATTTATGCCATATTTAAATGTGCGTGGAGTTGAAATAATTAACGTGACTCCTAATTTTGCTTGTGGCAGACAGACGTGCTCGGTAGAAACCACCCCGGGATGTTTATTTTCCATCAACTTCCCTTTGCGCGTTTCTCCTCACACTGCCCAACTGCATTGTCCACAGTTCAAAGTGACTGTCTTCTCAGGATGAAGAACTGGGAGAGGAACCTCACAGCCCACAACATCTCCCAGCATCTAAGTTATTAGGCAGCCTGATGTGGTAATGACAACACTGAAGGACCTACAGGAGTTGTGATGAGTGCTAATTAAATTACTTTTGCTTCAAATAGTTTTGGTTTTTTTTACACCGATGAATATCTGTAGATGTTAAGAACAAAATCAAGCCACCAGCTATCGGTCACCCCAGACAGCCTGCTCCTGAAATCTCGCTCCCGCATGATGAGGCGGCCGCTGAGAACACCAGCCACGGGCAACAACTAACTCCGACCTGCAGTCGATTTTATCGTCTTTTATTCTCAAAGCCAAATCCCCCCCGTTAGCACATGAGCGGCATGAGCACAGAACATTTTCTTCTGGTTCACAAATGAGTGTGTTTGGATAGGAGGCACACGTGCATGGGATTATGAATAAAACATGGCGCCCTTATTAAAAATAATCTGGCTCAAAAGTGCCAGAGGCCCTTGAGGTCGATAACTCTCCTCCCCTTGCAGGGTTCAAGGAGAGGGGTCCCTGATTAGCGCCGGCAACATCCACAGAATGCATTCAAATTCCGTATGATCCAGTGGCGGATGTGGTGAGTGGAATTGAATAAAGCAGGTAGTGATTAATGCTCGTGGCAGTGGACGGTGGAGCTGTTTAGGGGTTTGAGCTGAGCGTCTGGTTCCTACCTGAACAAGCCCTTCAGCACGCCTTTCTTGGATTTATTCTTGTCCTTGTCTTTGTCTTTCTCCCTTTCTGGCTTCTTCTTCTCCTTCACCCCAGACTTCTCCTGATCTTTCTGTCTGTCGTCTCTGCCGTTCAGCCCGGGGCCCAAAGTGAGGTCACCGCTGGTGGACATGGACTCTTGACCCGATCGGGAGCTTGTGTCATCATCCACTGGAGTGAAAAGATAAAAGCAACAAGGAGCGGGAGTTAAATGCCAGAAACATTCATGCAAACACAGAAAGAGAAAGACAAATAAAAAGTTATTAAACTTTGACTTGATTCCCCACAGATCACCGGCGTCATAATTGAAATAAGTACTCAACAACACTGCTTTTTCTTTTATTGTGAAAAAGCATCACTTTGGGTTTTTTTCCCCCTAAGAAAAACAAAAGAAACAAAAAAAAAACTAAAACTGTGTCCCATAAGGTATAACAGCTTTGAATAAAACACACTGAATACATTTGCCTCATTAGAGCAGAATATATTTACATTGTAGACTAGTTGGGACTAGTGTTGGGGCTGAACACATTTTTACTTTAGCTGAAAGCCTCGAGTTATTTCGTCTGTGTACATTTCTCAAAGATCACAAGAGAACTTCATTTTGCCAACCCCCACACACAAAAAAAACACTTCTGAAAACAGAGCGCGCTGCGATGTCTCATGAATCTGCTTCTTAATTACATTTGAACTCATTTCAGCCCAGACATCAAACTGAAACCACACTCCTTAGGTGATGCAAGGTTGATTAAACTCAAAGTTTCCATCACACCTAATCAGAGCCGATGTGCAAAAATGTAATTAATCTGTCAGTAATTATACATTTAAATCATCTCGAAAAAGGCTCCCGGGGATCTTAATTGCAAATACGGTGTGCTCCGCGGTCGGCGTCGCTCCTGTCAGCGCTCCATCTCTGGCTCGGAGACATGAGGTAGATGTCCTTCAGATTACAACTTATTACAGTCTTGCGCGTCGTTGTCCAACTTCTTCCTTTGATGGAGGAGCGAAAAGCGCTTATCGCAGGGAGAGAAGGATGAAGGGGGTGGAGGAGGGGGTGCGTGATGGATTTTTGGAATACGGGATGAGGCACACTGAGGAGAAGGAGGAGCGGCTGGATTCACATTTCAAGGATGAACAGTGGGGTTTGTTTTCTCTTGCGATCTGAGGAGCTATCAGCTATTTCTTTCAGCTGTCATCTCGGAGGAAATTACTGAAATGGAATCTGAGCGCGAGCCACTGTGTATAGCCGAAACAAGAGAACGAAGCGGGGCAGATTAAACCTGCACACTCTTACAATTCATCTCTGCACGGAGCCCCTCCCCTCCCCAAATTCGGTCGCGGGCTCTGGATGGGCGCCGATTCAATCTGGTGGCCCGCTTATCATCCACTTAAGAGTGAATAGCAGCTGTGAGCTGTATCTGGCTATTTAAATGACAGAGATTAGCAGTGGTGCTAATGCTGCTACTGCTTAGTGATGCCAAGCTGCAGATAACACCCAAAACAATGTAATCCAGAGCCTCCCAGAGAGCAGTTACAGCCATGAGTGCTTACGCATGTGTGCAAAGGCATCCATGTGTGAATGTAGATATATCTGCATGCTTTTGCACCAAGGTTAATTTGTCTTATTGACTTAGCAGAAAGACTCATTTAAAGGGAAAGTGAAGGCTGATTTAAAAAGAAAAGAAGGCAATCAATTTTAAATATTACAAAGTTGAGAGAAAGAAGCGAAAAAATACACAAAAGCCTTTAATACCGGTTATCAAAAGGTGAGGCCGTCTGCAGCAATTTAATAGAGCTCAGAAGCAAAAGGCTGACGTCAGAGGTTCTGATGAAAGCGTCGGGACAGCGAAAGATCATTTCACAGAGACAGACGAGCAAGAAACATTTCGTCACCTTCATGAAAGTCTACAAGTGAACTTTCTCGCTTTAATAATCAAGGACGTCTAAGCCGGTCTGTCAGCAAAGGTTATGACAGACGTAAGTAAAATTGCCAGTCTTATTCTGAAAAAAAAAAAATGAAAGAAGGGATTTTTGCACAGCACAGATGATTTTTTTTTTCCGTTTTCTTTCTTTTTTTTTTTCTTTGCTCGAACCACGTAACACAAAGTAGCACAAGGGAAAGTGCATTTTTGCCCAGCGGGATATCTTGTGGGGACACATTTTCTTTAGGTGATGCCACATTCTTATTTTATGTAAATAAAAGTCTGGGAGCAGGGGAAGGCAGAGGCTTATCTGTCAACTTTGACTATTAACCTCGGTGACGAGCACAGACTGGCTGCTTTTATCTAAATTGAAAAACAGAGTTATTTGAATATCATGGGGAGAATGCAATATACAGCGGCAGGGGAAATCGGTTGCTTTCCCCATTTTTCTTTGCCGAGATAAGACTGTATTTAGTGGCTTGCCGACAGAGCTTATGAGAACAAAGCATTTCAGGCAAATAATTCCTTCTTTTTTCAAATGTCCCCCCCAGCTCATTTAATGGAATCCTTTAATGGTGAATGGAAATTTATATCGAGTGATTACTCTTGTGGTGTTGTGGTGTTATTACCTGTCGGAAAACGTAAGACGGCTGTCTCTCCGTATGCGCTGCATGTCTTTTTGTTATCAAACACTAAGTAGTGAAGGATACATGCCTTGAAAGAGAAGGTAGGGCGTCTTTCTAGTTCTTCTTTTTCTCTCTTCATATTTGAAATGAATTAAAGTAATTGTGGTTTTTAGGCCCTGTCAGGTACACAAGTAAACAAACACATGGAAGTAATACCGGACAAAGTTCTGTCGTATATGTGCCAAAACCAAGAGGAGCAGACACATACATATAAGCAGGGGTGAACATAAGGGGTCCACAGGTGCGCATTCGCTGTCAAAATAAAAGACGTGCACCAGATAAGAAGTTACAACGTTTGCGTGCATAAGATTTTCTGGAGGAAGACAGACATTTGTTTAGAACTCTTGAAGATTTCGAAGAAGCTCCTTTAAGCAATGACTTTGCTGTTCCTCCACCTCCAAAGAAATGTCAGGCGGAGTCCGAACCACAAAAGAAGCGCGTATTCTCAGAAAAATGGTTGCAGGAGGTGAGCTGGCTTCAAACAAATGATGAACGCACAGATGTGGTGCAGAATATGCCGTGAAAATCCCACTCTTGCAGACAAAAACAGTGCCTTTTATATGTACGCAAACGTGCGTTGCAACTTCTTATCTGGTGCGCGTCTTATTTTGACAGCGAATGTACACATGCGGACCACTTATGTGCACCCCTGCATATAACATTATGACCACCTGCCTAATATTGTTGTTGGTCCCCCTTTTGCTGTAAATACAGCCCTGACCCATCGAGGCATAGACTCCACTAGACCCCTAAAGGTGTGCTGTGGTATCTGCACCAAGCTGTAAGTTGTGAGGTGGGGCCTCCGTGGTTTGGACTTGTTTGTCCAGCACATCCCACAGATGCTTGATTGGATTGAGATCTGGAGAATTTGGAGGCCAAGTCAACACCTCAAACTCATTGTTGTGCTCCTCAAACCATTCCTGAATCTTTTATGCTTTGAGGCAGAGTGCATTATCCTGTATTTCCAAACTGTATTTCCATGAAAGGGTTACATGTTTAGGTAGGCGGCACGTGTCAAAGTAACACCCACATAGATGGCAGGACCCAAGGTTTCCCAGCAGAACATTGCCCAAAGTATCATACTGTTTCTTCGCACAGTGCATGATAAGCGATGCACACACACGGCTATCTGATGTAAAAGAAAATTTGACTCATCAGACCAGGGCATCCTCTTCTATTTCTATGTGGTCCAGATCTGATATGCATATGTCCCTGTTGTTGGCGCTTTCGTTGGCAGACAGGTATCAGCATGGGCACCCTCACTGGTCTGCACCTATGCAGCCCCATACGCAATAAACTGTGATGCAGTGTCTATCCTGACACCTTTCTATCAGAACCAACATGTTGGAACAGTCCAAAGCAATTCCACACTATGTGAATAATCATAAGTCCATAACCTAGACACCTATTGCTGATGTTGTCATGGTCCCCGTGCCTGCCCGGCTGGCCCTGTGTGGCTACACGTGTGTTGCTTTTGTCTCTCTCCTCTCTCTCTCTACTTGCTGCCTGGGCGGAGCTCATTGTGGGCTCCTGGCCTTTACCATCTGCAAGCAATCACCTGTGGCTCCTCACCTTGTTTGCTCTCGCTACTTAAGGCAGTGACTGAGAGCACCTCGCCGCTGGACTATTGAGTAACGCTCGTCAGTGCTGCTTTAGCCTAAGCCAGTTTTGAGCTCTCATCGTGAAAGTTTTCCGTGTTAATTCCTGA